AGAAACGCCCAAGACCACAACTTACTTGCGCTGCACTCAGAGGGAAAGTCAAAGCCACATGCTTTTCTTAGAAACAAGAAGCATTCTCAACAAATCTCTCTGTTAACTAAGCATTCCACTCAAGAATGCTAGAAAAAAGTACACCAAGCTAGAATTAAAGAAATAAACTAATAAGCATAAAGCAGAAACCACCATTTAATAAACAAGCCAACAATAGGCGATATGCTTCTTTCAACAAATAAAATAAAGCAGATAATCTTTGATATTCATGTAAAAAGATCAGAAAGAAAGAGATAGCACAAATAAACAAAGAAAGAGATAGCACAAATAAAAGAGATAGCACAAATGAGAGATAAAACGGCCTGAGTTTAGATTATGCAGATTGAAAGTTACTGTAAAGTGAAAATCCTGTTCTTTTTGCCAACAAATTTGAAAATCAACGTGAAGTGGACAACTTGCCAAGAGAATGTAAATGATCAAACTTGACTCAAGAAGCAGAAACTTGAACGTGACTCTTGAAGGAACTTGCATGTACCAGAGAAAGAACGAGAAGAGCCCACCAGGTATTACCGCCATAGATGACAGTAGGTTCCACAGGCTTTTTGAGCAAGAACAAAAACCTCGAGATGATTCAGCTATCCCAGAGCATAGAAAATAAGGTTCTGTATCCAAGCTCCCAGACTCTCTGGACCACGATGGCCAAGTCTCCCGAGGAGATCCCAAACGACCGCTATAGATGGGTCGGTCCTGGTGACTACAGACAGAAGAAAGAAAACCAAGATGGCAGAGTAATGCACCACGACCAAGTAGGGTCAATCCCAGTCTGCGAGGGTAACAAAGTCCAGAAAGAAGGATTTCGCATTTATAAGTCACTTATATTAACAGTAAGAGAAACGTTAGATGATTCTCACAGTAGACTACAAAAAGACTTGACCCAACTCAAAATCCACTGCTGATTTAAGGGAAAAAACTGCAATTCTCATTTAGCAAGACCAGAGGGAAACATTCTCAGTGTAACAAGAGAGGGTAATAACCGGGCAATAACCACAGGCACAGTCTCCTGCGCTGAATCCCCAGCGACATTCCACTTCAAGTAAGAAAGACAGCAGGGCCAGCCCGGGCCAGCGACGGAGGCTCCGCAGGGCGCTGTCTATGGGTGACTCTGGCTGGACACGGTCTGGGGAGCTAGTCTTGAATTGTTATTGCATTTAAGACCAAGGGAGTGTAAACTGTCTGCACCAGAGAGCGGGGATACTCAGGGCAACATGCTCCAAGGCATGAGAACAATGGACAACAACAGGGAGAGAGAAAATGAACCGAAAATGAAAGAAATGGGGAAACTCCGATTTTTCGTTTTCGATCTCAAGAGCTGTTTCTTCAACAAGCAATTTTTGAAGGAAGTGTTAAGAGTTAGTTGGACAGTTAGGTAGTCAGGGCCAGGGTCCCCAACAAAAAAATATGGAGTCGGGACAGCTAAGATAAAACAGCACTAACATCTTGTTTTGCTCTCAGATACCACCACACTAACATTCTGCTTTGCAGCCTTTGCAGAAATGACTTCTGCAAAACGTCCTAAAACAAGGCAATTAACCACAAGCCATTTGTCCCTAGCATGGGGAAGGGGCAGGTAAGACATAGCCCTCACATGTCAGCAAAAAAAGACCATCAACACATTGACATTAAGGTAATAGGTAGACAGATACGTGACCAAAGCCTTGATTTGCAGGACTCAGCATTGCCCTGGTCGCTTAAGATAGTTTTGCAAAAGAGCTCATAAAATCCCCTAAACTTAGAAACTCCAGGCAAACCCTCTCAGGCCCCCCTCCACATGGGCCCCCCTCCATCTCTGGGAGCTTTACACTCTTGCTCAATACACTTTGCTTTGCTGCCCACCACACTTCATCTGGTCTACCTCTTCATTCTTGGAAGTGGCAGGACCAAGAACTGCGGGCACTAAAGGCAGAGAATTCCTGCAACAGAAGGATCTTGTGTGTTGTGTTCTGGGAGCTCTCACCTGCTCAGGAAGGGCCAGACGGGCACACAGGGAGGATGGCCTGCAGAGATGGGGGCAGTTTTGGGGGACGCACCAGCCCTCGAGGAGCACCCATGGCCACCAGCAAACCCCCAGGTGCTGGGGGAGAGGAAGCGGCAGTCTCCATCCCAGCCTCAGAAGAACCAGCCCTGGCTTGTGAGCCTTCGGGTGGACGGGGGGGCCGCTCCTGTGGCGGCCTCCAGCAACCACTGGGCACTGCTGCTCAGCTCAGCACAATTCTGATGAAAACTCCAGCCAGGGGTACCTGGCTGGCTCAGTCGGTTAAGTGTCTGACTCTTGATTTTGGCTCAGGTCATGATCTCAGGGGCGTGAGATCGAGCCCCCATCAGTCTCCACAGTGGGCATGGAGCCTGCTTAAGAGTCTCTCCATCTGTCCTACCCCCAACTCTCGCCTGCATGCTCTCTCGCTCGCTCACTGTCTCTCTCTCTCAAAAACATAAATCAATAAATTAAATCATATTAAAACTCCAGCTGGCTCCTTTCTGTAAATTGACAGAAGTTTTAAAAGTGAGATGGAAATGCAACAGGACAAGAGCAATCAAAATACTCTTAAAGAATCAGGTGGGAGGACTTGCCGGACCAGATAGCAAGATTGGATTATGCGCCTAGAGTAACGAAGATGGTGTGTTATCGCCACAAGGACAGACCAAGAAACAGACCCAGGCACATGGGGACAGTTGACAGTAGGAGGCTGAAGATAGTGCAAGTCAGGGAAAAGAACTTTCCCGAAAGTTTTCAAACATGTTTTCAATAAGTGGTGCTCAGATAATGGTTATCCAGAGAAAGGAAAATTAAAACAAATCCTTACATTAAAAGCACACACAAGTCATTATCAGTAGATTAAAGACTTAAGTGTGAGGCAAAAACATAAAGCTTTTGGACACTATCTTTTAACATAAGGCACTATCTTCAGGATTTCAAAGCAGGAGATGAGTTCTTAAATTTACCTATGTTAAAAGAGTTGAAGTAGCAACATACAAACTAGAAGAAGAAATTTTTAGCATGTGTCTGAGAAAAGTACTAACACCCAAAACACAAAACAAACTCCCCAAAGTCCATAAGAAAAAGACAAACCACCCAGAGCAACAAGCTATCATACACACAAACGAAACCCAGAAAAGTGCTTTCAGGCTGGGCCTCTCCCATTGTCTGGGTACAGGGTACAGCAGGTGGTTAGGGGTCATGCTTTGAGAGTCTCTGGGCATAAGGCACCGTGGTAGGTACTGACCTATAAGAAGAAGTCTTAGCTTCTGCCATCAGGAGCTCACATTGTAATGAGCAAGACCAATGGGCAAGGTGAGCAGAATGGCAGCAGATCTGGCCAAAGGAATACACTAAGTGCTTTATAGGGAGGCAGAGTGAAGAGCAGTGCATTTCCATAGGAGGAGGAAGAGACAATCAAAGAAACTTTCCTGGGGAAGGTGACCTTGTGAGCACCATGAAGGATGAGCCCAGTTTCAATACAAGGACGAGTGGTGGGAGCCTCTCGAGAAGAGGAAACCGAGGCCCAGGGACTCATCCATAGCATCAAATCTTTGGTTGATCCCTTGCCCAGGGGAAGACCTGCTAAGGCTGCAGCCTTGTATGGGGACCTCCCTGGGCCCCGGGCTCTTCAGTTCCGGATTTCTGTATGATTCTTGGGCACCGCCACGTAGCGCAGTTTCCTGAGGAAAGGAGGCCTCTGCAGCATCCGTTCATCCCACAGGTACTCCGGGGAGAGCACCTTGGTGGGCTTGTGGTAGAGAAGGTACCTGTTCAGGTGGCTCTCGTCATGGCACACGGCCTCGATCGCGTTGGCCCGGTCGACCACCATCGCCTGGTGACAGACCGTGGTCAGCTGGAGAACCTCGACCACCGAACCCCCAAAAAAGCCTCCTACGTAGTAAAAGTCACCCTCTTCTCTCAGAATGTAGGCCTGGGACCGCGGACGACGCTCGTAGGTGAAGTCCTCATGGGCCGCCCTGTAGAAACTGGGGTGCAGGGTGCCGAACAGGGGGGACAGGATCTCCACACCCATGTGGTCGCTGAACTTCATGTCCACGTCCACACACACCAGGTAGTCCACCTCGCGGAGGAAGCGCTGCCGCGAGAAGTTGCTAATCATCTCCATGCGGTGCATGGACACATCCTGCCAGCGCGCATACTTTCGGACCTCCAGGACTACCAGCTGCCTCCCTTCAGCGAGGGGCACCCTGGGCACATCGGCGGGCCGGTCGGTGAAGACATAGTAGGTGACCCTGTGTCCCACCATGAAGTGCTTCTCAGCCGTCTGCAGGAACAGCTCCAGGAAGACCATGTATCTAAGGCCAACAACAAGCACCCCAGAAAAGGGAGGATGGGCGTTAAACAGAATCCAACAGCAGCAGAAAAACAGACTTGGGCAAAACCAGTTTAGAATACCATAGCCACGCCTTGAGGACATCATGCTAAGTGAAATGAGCCAATGGCAAAAGTCAAGCACTGCCTGATTCCACTTCAAGGGGGCGCTCTAGGGTGGGCAAATTCAGAGAAACAGACCCCAGAGGCTGGGGGAGGGGACATGGGGAGCTAGTGTCTAACCGGCACAGAGCTTCAGTTTTGCAAGAGAAAAACGCTTGTGAAGATGGGCAGCCCTACGGTGGCGCAACAATGCGAATTGGTAGCACTACGGAACTGTGCATTCCAAAATACTTAAAATGTTACATGTTATGTGCATTTTACTACAATGAAAAATCAAAACATAAAAATAAAAACCATAGCCCATCTACTAGCTAAAGACAGTGTATCAACTGGATAGTAAGGGGAGGCATTCAGATCCCTTGGTATGGAGCACTTAGCCTCAACCGTAAGGTATTTTCTTAATCCATGAGGTCGGCAAAAACTCAAACGATGGGTAATATCTAAAGGTTGATCTCTCCCAACTCATGACCCTCCAATGGCTTCTTCTCCTTAAGAAAAAAGAAAAAAGCAAATCAAGACCCTACAGTGGTCTACCAGACCCCACAAGATCTGCCTCTGACCTCGTCTCCTCCCCTCTGTCCCCCATCTCTTTGTCTGGGCAGGTGTCTCTTTGACATTCCTGACACAGGCCAGGCATGCTCCTCTGGACCTTTGCACTTCCTATTCTCTCAGGCTGGGAACCTTTCCCTGCGATGCTCACACCTACAGTAGCTCCCATCCTTTGACTAATGCCAGAACCATCCGTGCCCTATAGCTCCTCCTGCTGGCACCAACACGGAGGCTAGCCGATGTAAAA